GTCGAGGGCGGTTGTGGGAGTTGCGCGTTTCCCTGCGAAGGGGGGGGGGGGGGTCACGGGCGCGGGGGGCGGGCAGGGGGGTGGGTGGAAGGGGCTCAAGGGCGTCACGGTCGTTTCTTCAGGGTCCGGTTCGGGGGAGACATTGGATTCCCCAGCCTGAGCTGCTCTGTGGGTCTCAGCTGCATCTGCAGAGCAAAGGAGAGCAAAAGTGGGTCTTGGCGCTGAAGCATTCTGCAGGAGGAAAGGAAATGGATCGGGACGTTGTCTGGACATTCCATAAAACCCTGTGAAAGAGGCCAGGTGAACCACCGTAGTGCGTCATTCCCCAAGAAGTCAGAGGTGAAAAAGGATTACAGGGGTGAACCTCCAAATCTTGCTTAAAACTCTGCTCAGGATTTCGTTGGGGGAAGCTGAAGGGAGGCAGGAGACAACCCTTGTTCAGCCCCTCTGCAAGAGGGCCAAAGCGGGTTTCTTCCCCTGTTGCGGAAAGTCCTTCAAAGGGGAGAGGAGAGCAAGCAACAGGGAGGATTTGGGGGGAAACAGCCAGACAGCAAATGGAAATAAAGGGCGGGGGTCGATCCCTTGCTTGGAAGCTGTGCAGGTGAGTCCTTGTTGAGGAAAGAGGCGCAGGGGCTTGTGTCAAGGGGGAGATGCACCACCCATCTATAAATCCAGACTTTTCATTCTCACTGGCAGAGAGGCTGAACATGGGTGTGTTTGCTCAGGTGTAACGCAGCTGGTGCTGCAAAGGCACCTTCCGCTCTGGGTGCCTTGAAGCTTTGGGCCACGTGCCTTGCTCCCTTTCTCCTTCCAGCCAGCCCGCCCCCTCCCTGCTTCCCCTGTCCGGCGGGGGATGTCCCTGGCTCCCTCCTCCCTCACCCTCTTTCCCCTTGGGGAGGGTTGCCTCCTTCGGCACCCCGTGGCCCGTCTGGCATTCTGCTGGTAGGCCCAGGCTCAGGTTGGTGTCCATCAATAGCACGTTGCCTGGGGAGATAAGAGGAGCTTCTGCTAGGCCAGACTGCCTGAAGGGGACTCTCCACTCTCTGGCATGGGCGTGTTTTGCACCCAGATACATTCCCTTCCACGCCTAGCCCATGTCTGAAAGATGCTCACCTCAGGAAACAGGAGCTGCGCAACCGAAATTCCCACAGCCATTCTTGCAGCACTTCTGGTTGCCTTCGCAGTTCGAATCCGTTTTACATGTGTCTCTGCAAACACCCAGTGGTGGGATGGGTTGGCTCAAAACTGGGCAGGACCCAGGTTTGTCTGCAAGAAGAGAAGGGCAACTGGTGAGCTGACAGGTCCCTGCTGAGAGGGGGCATCAGGGAAAGCGGAGGAAGCCTGTAAGAGCCCTTGGGAGGATCTCCTGATGACGCTCCGGGTAGGATCTCAGGGGCTCTGCCGCTTGTGGGCGCAGCAAGCGGTCAAGGTCAGTGGGAGAAGCTGCGTCCGCTGTTTCAAGACAACCCCTGGAGGATCCTGCAAAGTCCCGGCCAGGAAAAACCAGGAGCATCTTGATCCGAAGGAGCTGCAAAAAGCAGGAAGGAACTGCAGTAGGAGAATAGCCAAGAGGGATTTATAAGGCAGTGCCACCGCCCAGGTTTTTACACCTGGAGGAGCATATTTTGGGTATGGCACCAGCTCTTTAGACTCAGAGCTTTTCATGCCTGCTCCCTGCAGCTGCTGTTTTGCTGTGTGCTCCAGATGCTGAGGTCACGCAGGCTGGCCCGGGCTCAGCACACTGGGTTTATTGTGCCTTAAACCGCCCACCGCAGGCTGGCAGTTTGTGTAAAAGTAGGGCTGGGGGCAACCTGGCGACTTCTTCCTACCCTAGCAAGAAGGCTGCCTCGACCCCAGAGGCAGCCCAGCCTGCTTCTTCCCCATTCAGCATCTGCAGGGGCAACTCAAGGTCTCGCCTGCCACTCTGAATAACACCCTGCTGGGGAGGGAGAGGGGGCACCTGACACAGCCAAGCCCTTGTTAGGTTGTGCTGGCAAGGCTCTGGCAACCACCACGGATCACTCAGGAGAGGGCAGGTGTGATCCTTGGACTGCCCTGCAAGCAGCTGCTTGTTGCATGAATTGCAACTTCCAAACAGTTTTCAGGAGATGCCTCGTGTTGCCAGAGACAAGACTGGCTGAAGCCAAGGTGTGGAGAAGCATCCCCAAATCTGGCCACTTCAGGAAGGGACACAGCTGGTGCACTAGACCTACTTACGCAAAAGGCCGCCTTGCCACAGCTGCCACTAGCTCCAGCCGTACTGAACCATCAACTTTCTAGGGAAGGTTGTTCAGGTGACAGTGGGCAGGCAACTATGGAGCACCCTAGAGGAAGCAGATTATCTGGGCCCCCTTCAGTCAGAGTTTGGCCTTGATATGGGAGAGAAATCACAATGGTCTCCTTGCTGATGATGTGGGAAGCATATCCCTTCTGATCTTATAAGACCTCTTGGTGGCCTTTGTACCATCGGTCATGCATCCCTCCTGACGCTCTGCTGGGTTGGGGGCCCTGTGCTACGGTGGGTCCACTCCGAAGGAGAAGAAGACCGGGAAGGCTGGCAAGAGGGGGGTGCACTAAGAAAGGGGAAAAGTAGCTTTTTGGTGTGCATGGGCTTAGTCTTAGCAACGCTTGGGACCTGTACGCTCCCTCTCAATAAATGAACTTTAGCCTGAACCTACGTCGGTTTCACAGAGAGTTTCTTTCACTGGGAGGTGAAGGTGACAGATCGTTACAGATTGGCCCAAAGGCCTCTCCCTTGGAAAGTGCCCCAGGATTTTGGTTCTCCCCCCTTCATTTTAACAATGACATGAAAACACTGGGGGAGGCCAGCCTTTGGTTCAGAGGGTGATGTCATCAAAATATGCTGAGGACACTCAACTGTGCATCACGCCCCAGGCTGCCCCGGCGATGTGGTGGAAGTCCCGAGTCAGGGCCCGAAAGCTGTAGGGGTCTGGATGGAAAGGAGGAGGCTGAACTCAAGCAAGACAGGTTCATCAAGGCCACCTCCTGCCCCGGTATCGTCTTCCAGGTGATGGAAGTTCCCTTGCTCCACAGGGAACAGAACGCATCTCCTGGACATCTCCTCCCCAGGCCATCTAGGGAACAGCGGCCCCAAAGAATTCACAAAAGACACTGGAGTTGCGCCGACCGTGTCTGAGCCCCTTGCATGAAGAAACCCCTCTGCCCCAGAAGTGCATTGCAGCGCCTGCACCTTCCCACAACTTCCAAAGGGCCATCAGGGAACATCTCAAGAGCTCATCCTTGGATTACAGAAATACGAACAAAGGCTCACAGGCCTGGGGTCAGAAGGTGGAGCTGCAGCCTCCTCTGGCACGAAGTGAGGGCTGTGAAGCTGCATATCTTGGTATGCTCAGGAGCACCGCTGTATATTCCAAACAATCTACAGGACTGGGGACTGTTGATTTGCCTCAAGCAGCAGAGTCCTCATCCATCTCCCTGCAAGCCTCAGTCGAGACGTCTCCAAGTTATCACTCCCTCGGCTGGTGGACTCGGTTAGCAACTCCTGGAAGGAGGCAGCCTTGGCTCCGCGCCATGCCTTTCCGGCCCGGGCTCAACGAGTCATCGCTGTGGCTTCTCCCAGTCCCACCCAGGGGGCCAGAAGATGCTCTGCAAGGGGAACCCTTTCCAACCCTGCTAGCTCCCAGGTGCCTTCTTTCTGGGCGTCCTGGCTGCAGGTTTTCCTTGGCATCGAGCGGGTCAGGAAAGCAACTCTGAGGTGGACGGGTGCTCTTTCCAGGAACGTTCTGGGCACCTTCGCCCTGGACCTTCGTCCCCTCTTCTGGAGCCTGGTTGACATATCTGGGAGACCAAGGAAAGCAACCCAGGTGGAGCAATCCTCTGGGGATGCAAGCTTCATCTGCCACTGTGGCACTCAAGGCCCTGCCAATGCTTTGGACATGGGGGGGGTACATTCCACCTGCTTCATATACCCCCCCCCCATTTATCACCTTCTTGGCAGGCTACCTGATGGCTTCTTAGCTGCTTTCTGATTTGGCAGAAGATGGCTGTTCTCACCTCTTCTTCTCCGCAGATTTGTGGCAGGTGATTCAGTGCTGTTTCTTGCTTCCGGCAGCGCTTCCTCCATGCCAGGGGAAAGTATTCAGAGCAAGAGGCCCAACCATGGACGGTTTTCTTCCTGACCAGCTTCCTAGAACGACCTAAGTGCTTCCTGAGGCCCCAGAACAGGAGAGCAGCCTCCACTGGTCTAGATCATTCCCCGCCCCAGCCCCAGTGTTGCCGTCCTCCTGCCAGGCCCTTTGGGAGCTTCTCTCCCCCCCTCCATCCCCGGGTCATGTTTTTCTCCTTATTCTCGCCTGGGTAGGAATGCAGGTGAAACCAGAGTCAGCCCCGGAGAAACACGCCCAGGAAAAACACAGGCCTGGAGACAATCCAGAGGCTGCGTTCCCCCAGCCCAGCTCTGACTCAGCTGAGAAGCCCGAAGAAAGGGTGGCTGGCCGGGTTTTCAGGCCAGGAGAAGACCTCTCCCTGTGCCAGAGGAAGCACACGGCGTTCCAGGAAGAGCCTGGCAATTCTGGAAAGAAGAGAGGGGAACCCAGTTGCAGAGGGCCTGCCGATTCTGAGAAGATCCTGGTGGAAGCACGCCAGAAGCATCTGGGCCACCCATGCCCCCAACGCCTGCTTGCGCCTGTGGAGAAGCAGCTCCGGGCGGGGGGAGGGGGGTTGTGGGAAGAGAAGAAGGGCGGCAGTCACTGACCGACCAAAGAGGGAGAAGAAGCAGAGTATGGGGCAAAACTGGAACACTGGGTGCCAGGGAACCAGGCTACCACCATTATTTAGTTTAACAGTGCTGTACATCGCCCAGAGTCAGTTTTTGGGGAGACGGGCAGCCATGCAAATTTGATAAATCAATAAAATCAATCAATCAATCCATCAAGTGGATTCAGAACATACCCTTAACGTAATGAGAGGAAGAGACTGCATTGGCCTGAGGGCAAGAGGCCCGACCTCCTGCGCAGGGCAGGAACCCACACCCGAGGATCCCAGACAGACGGCGGCTATCAGGGGGTCTGCTGAGCGTGGTCAAAACAGACCAGGTGGCGCAGTTAAAGTCCTGCACGGTTTTCATGTTCATTGAGGTGCAGCTTCAATCCTGCCTTTTCACCACCACCCCCCACCCCTTCGCAGTTCTGGCAACGGACTGCATGGCCTCGCCCTTGCCAGGCAGTCTGGCTGGGGTTGTCCTGGGGTCCTGGGCAGGCAAGGCATTTGTCCAGCAGCTGAGGACCACGGGGAGTTTGCAGCGGCTGTCCTGAGGAAGGGCACGGTGGCCGGCAGAATCCGGCCGTTTCCAGAAGGAGCCTGCCGGGCTCTTCCCTGACGCTGGCCCCTCTGGGCTCCAGACACGTCTGCCTGGGACTGAGGAAGGGGTGGCAGGGCCCTCTGGCCCCACCCCCCAGCCCCAAGCCTCCCACTGCTGCTCTTCAGATCAGGTCACTGGCAAGGGAAGAACAGCCCCCCCCACCCACCAGGAACAAGGGCTGCCTTTGGGGAGGTTCCCACACCCCCCC